TGGTGATCTACAGCAACCTCAAGAAGCTGATGCAGCTGCGAGCAAAATGCAGTGGGGGATGGTTCGAACTGAGTACCAATCGACAACTGCAATGGCGCCAAAACGTAAGCGACACTGCTTCTAAAGGCACCAACCCGCTCCCCAGCGATCGCGTGCTTATATTTGCCGCCATGTCCTGGAATTTGGTAGCCAGACTCGACGGCGCTGCCGACCGATTCCTGGACGTCGAGGACTTGACGCCCGCCGCACGCGCGGCCTCGCCCATGCAGCCGACGACGACGAATTGGTCGACGCGAACTCGCTCTGCGTGATCTCGTCATGCGTAGACAGGACTGCTGAGCGCTCGACGACGGTCAAGCGCCCTCTGGCGAGCTTGGCACATGACGAAATGCAGCAGTCGACTGAGGCCGCATGAAGGTGTCAAGCTCGCCAGAAGGCGCTTGCCCGTCGTCGATCGGTTGGCAGCCCCGTCTACGCATGACGAGATCACGCAGAGCGAGTTCGCGTCGACCAATTCGTCGTCGTCGGCTGCAAGGGCGAGGCCGCGCGTGCGGCCGGCGTCAAGTCCTCGACGTCCAGGAATCGGTCGGCAGCGCCGTCGAGCGTGGTCGGCGACTACCAGTTTGTGTGCTAGGTTATGCGCGCTTCGCCAAAGACCCACGGCGACGACAACGACGAGTCGGCCTCTTTCAAGCAGCTCGCGACAGGACTCGCAACGAAGTCGCCAAGTGCGAAACTGCAAGCAATGGCGCGAGCAGAGCGAGACTGTAGAGCTCTAATAAGAGCGTCTTCCAGCATGTTGAAGCAAAACTCACATTTTCACGTCAAAGGCGAAAACGTCGACGGGAAGGAAAACACACATGCGAGAAATTCGTTCATTGAGTGAATCTCACGTGTTTGACGCGTTTCCCGCCGCCTTTTTTTGGGCGGGAACGTGTCAACCGCTGGATTCTCACGTTTCCCACTGCACCTTAACCTTAATTTGCACAAATGACCGTGCAGTGGGAAACACGTGGGAAATGTGTTGAAAGCCAGTGTTTTGCATATTTTCACGATTCCCACCGGCTGACAATTTTTGACATGACGACCGACCACCGAGCGCCAATGTGGCTGCTATCGCCGATCGCGCTGCAGATTCTGGACTACCTCGACGACGCCGATGACGCACACGCCTTTCTTACAGCGGCGCCCAATGAAAGCCTCGATGACGCTCTCGACGCGCTGCGAGCGCTCTTGGCCGTGGACGCGGAGCTTCCACTCTGGCCCACGGCCCACATTGCCAGTCTGGACGCAGCCTACGACGTCAGTCCCAGTAGCGTCATGAAGGCGCTTCCGCTGTTCAGGAAGATTTTTGTCACCTGCGGCCAGGACTATGCAAAGATATGTCATACCACGAAGCTGCCACCAACGACAATCGTAAGCGCCAGCATCGACGCCGCCATGATTCGAGGCGTCCTGGGCAAGTGGCTTCCAAACCTCGCGGCTCTTAGAATCGTGAGCCAATCCGCTCTGGCTGCTTCAGCGGTTATCAAGGACAACCTCTCGGCGTGCGACGGCCTCCAAGCGCTCACTATGGACCAATACGAGGTGCTTCTTCAAGACACGTTGGATACGGCGCTGGCTGTAGTCGTTGAAGCGTGCCCTCGCCTCGAGCGCGTCCGCCTCCGTCCATCTAGCCTCTCGACCGCCTCGGACTACGCGGCCCTTCTCGCATGGCTGGCGCTGCCCACATCACGCCACATGGCGCTCGATCGAACCGAACCGAAAGGCGAGCTCTGTGCAAAGCTGATGACAGCCATGTTAGCATCAACTACGCTGGAGACGATCGAGCTGCTCGAAGTGCCAATCTTCATACGCGCAGTATTGAGTTCGTCGTCGCCGCCGCTGCCGCGGCAGCTGCGTCACCTAACGATCAAGGACGATGCAAAGTACGACGACTACGATTCGTACGACGAGTACGATTCGAATGACGACGACAGTGATGACGCGTATGACGAAGCCGATATCGACGAGGTTGACGACGTACCCATGGATCCCGCACCGCTTCTTGGCGACGCCGACGTCGCTGCCCTCGCAGCCAAAGTTGCGACATCACGTCTTCAGAGTCTGGCGCTGCATCTCGAAGCGCGCTGCGATGTCACGTCGGTGATGACCATCTTGCCGCCGACGTTGACCAAACTCGCGCTCCAGACGGCGACACTTACCTCGTTTCCGCCGCTGGTTTCGCTCTGGCACCTCGAGCTCTGGGCGGTGCGATTCTCCGACGAGGCCATCGCGTCGCTAGCAGCGTGGCTGCGCTCGTTCCCAAAGCTGGTACATCTCACCCTTCGCAGCGACCAGCTTCCAGATCGCCAAACCGAGGTGATCTTGAGTGCGCTGCCCGCATGGCTGCGGCATCGAGGGACAGCTTGCAGCATCCATCTTACTATCAAGAGCGATGCGTGCGTCCGAGCGTTTACAGCTGCCCTCGCTCAGACTCGCAATTCCCACAAGGTCACGCTATCGATTGAAACCTATTACGTCGCGCTAGAAACAAAGAAGCAACTTGTTGCGGCGCTGGGGTTGACGTCGCGTATGATGCTGGCCTTTAATGGGACAAAACCGCCCGAAGACGAAGCGCTGGAAGCCTATGGTCGGCAGCATCATTTCGCGATTGTACATCGTCGCGAGTACCCGCTAGGGCCCCAACGAGTCTGGTTCCTCTCGCCTCCGCGAGCTTCTAGTCCATCGACAATTTACTAGCTTGGCGTCTAGCAGCCATGCGTTCTAGTACGGGCGATATTACATAAATAAATATTGATTTCTATGCGTTCACGGCCCTTGTTGCAACCTCACTCGTTAAGCGGATTGGGATGAGACCATTTTTCCAAGGTTGGCTCATTCCTCATGCCCAAAAGAACAACCAAATGAAACTGTGTCGGGCGCCAGCGTTTCCACATTTGTTCATTTTCCACGGCTCATTAATTTGGAAATGACCACCGACAACCGAGCGGCAAAGTGGTTGCTGCCGCCGATCGCGCTGTAGATTCTGCACTACCTCGACGACGCCGATGACGCACGCCTTTCTTACAGCGGCGCCAATGGCAGCTTCGCTGCCGCGCTCGACGCGCTACAGACGCGAATGGCGCTTCCTTTTTTGGTGCATTTGCTTGTCAAGTGTGGGAAATGTGTAAAAAGCACCGAGCACCGTGTGTTGCATGTTTTACACATTTTCCACCCAAGATAACACACAACACATTTTGATGACCGACAACCAAACGGCAATGTGGCTGCCGCCGATCGCGCTGCAGATTCTGCACTTCCTCGACGACGCCGATGACGCGTATGCTTTTCTCCAAGCCGAACCCAATGAGATCCTCGATGACGCGCTCAACGCGCTCCGGACGCTCTTGGCTATGGACTTGCAGTTTCAGCTATGGCCCACGCCGGTCTGGCAGTGGCCTACGACGTCAGTCCCAGCGTCGTCACAAGGGCGCTTCCAGCGTTCAAGAGGATTGAAGTCACCAGCAGCCAAGACTGTTGGAGCATTTGCCACAACACGGTCCTGCCACCAACGACCGTCGTGAGTGCTGAACGTGACCACCGTCCGTGGCGTCCTCGGCAATTGGCTTCCCAACCTCGCAGATCTCGGGGTCTTGAGTCCAAACAAACTGAGCTTTACAAGTGTCTTCATGGACAACGTCTCGGCATGCCATGGCCTCCGTGCGCTCACCAGCCATCCAATGGAGACCCTCGACCAAGCCACGTTTGACGCTGCGCTAACGGCTGTCGTCGCTACGTGGCCCCAGCTCGAGCGTATCCACTTGGTTTCACCCAGCCTCTCGCACATGTCGGACTGCCAATCTCTTCTCGCGTGGCTTGCGCTGCCTGCGGCACGCGATCTCGTGCTGCATGGTACCGACTTTCGAGACGAGCTCGGCGCCAAGCTGGCGACGGCCATGCTCACGTCGAGGACCCTCGAGACAATCGAGCTAATTGAAGTCGCGAGCCTCACACGCGCGGTTTTGAGCCCATCGTCGCCGCCACTGCCGCAACAACTGCGTCACCTGAAGATCGACGACCACATGCTGATGGAATTTTTTGCACCACCACCGGTGTTTGGCGAAGCAGATATGACCGCGCTCACCGCCAAGATTACGAATTCGCACCTTGAAAGTTTGCATCTGGGGATGCGAACCCGCTGTGATGCCACGTCAGTGCTCAGCGTCTTACCACAGCTGCCGGCGCTGACCAAACTCGCGCTTCAGGGAGTCCATCTGACCTCGTTTCCACCACTGCGCCACCTCGGGCATCTTGAGCTGCGCACGGTGACCTTCTCGGACACTGCCATCGAGTCGCTGGCTGCGTTTCTTGGGTCGTCGCCAAAGCTCGTGCAGCTGGATCTGGGACACGACCCGCTCCCAGATCCACACGCCAACATCGTCTTTGGTGCGCTACCGCAATGGCTCAGTCGTCGAGGTACGGCGTGCGAGATACGCCTTGCGATCACGAGCGATGTATGCGCGGATGCTTTTGCGACGGCGCTCGCTCAGACGCGCAATTCGCACAAGGTCACGATTACGATTGTGAGTGCTATTCTCTCGCTTGCCGCCATGATGCAGCTTGTCGCGGCGTTGGCGTCGACGTCGCGGTTGGCGCTGGTCTTTAATAGGGGAGGCCTTCGTCGTGCCGAAGAGGACACGGCACTGGAAGCGTATGGTCGCGAGCAGCGTCTCCGGATCATCTATCGCAAGGTGCGCCCTGGTAGCGACAAGCAGACCTGGTTCCACCCGCCCTGCGCTTCGGCTCGTTAAGATGATCAATACCTCAACGATCATAACCCAACACCTTGATTCGTATCATTGTCATTGTGTCGCCATGTCTTTGAGATAGATATACTTGAAGGCGTCCTTTGACCCCCGAAAAGTCATTTTTGGTCTAGTACAGTGTGCTACACAACGTGGTCAACAAAACAAATGACCTTGCGATTTTTTATTTACTCGTCGTCGTCCTCCTCACCATCGTCATCCTCCTCCTCATCGTCATCTTCCGATTCGGAGAGCTCGCCCTCAACAATGCACGAGTCCTTGAGGAGCAAGCAGTCGACCGACGAGCCGGCCGCGGCGCCGCGGAGTGTCGTTGGCAATGTGACTTGAATGATGTAGTCTTCTTCACCGCTGTTGATGCCCCATCGATGGAACTTTGTCGGCTCCGTGGCGCCATAGATTTGGAGTAGCGCCTGCTCCGTGTTTTTCGTGCGCAGGGCGAGCGGCGCAACCGCGGCCGACGTGAGCTTCAAGCCAGCCGCGACAGTTGCATCCATCCGCTCCGACTGAATCGGGACGTGGTCGACCCAAATGTTGACAAGGAACGTCACGCGCAGGCCCTCGACGTCTTCGTCAACTTCCGGAAACGCCAGCGACGACGGCGCGCCGTGGAGAAGCTCGCCGTCAAACGTAATGTGCTTGCCCGCGACTGGTCGGCTCACAATGCACTTGGTGAGCGGTCCTTCGATCGAAGTGCCGTACGCAAATGTCCCGCGCTTGTCGAGGATGACGGTCGGGCCGGCGTTCACGCAGAGGTACGTGACCGTGCCGACGAGCGGGTGGACGTGCTCCTCGTTGTCTTCTTCCATGCCGTAGTCACGGTCCCAATGGAAGCCAATGTTGTCGCGGTGGTCAATGTGCTGCGTCCACCACTCGGCACCCGAGTTGGCCGGGTCAAAGCTCAGGCCGTCGGTGTGCAGCGCAAAGATCTTTAGCGCCAGCGCCTCCATGCCGCAGGTCGGCGTGTCGTTCGCACGGACAAAAAAGGTCGAGCCAAGGCTGTAGTTTTCGCCGTCTTCGACCTCGCGGCAGGTAAAGCACGTCTTGCAGTCGTCGAGGAGGCGGTCGTGGTCGGCCGGCGCGAGGTCGCCAAGGAGGTCTTGGAAGCACTTGAACTTCATCTCTGCCCCAAGGTCGGTGCCTTGCGCGGGCGTCGTCTTCTTCTTCTTGGACGCCGTGGTCTTGGTGGAGCTTGCGGCGCGCTTGCTCGGCATGCTCTGCTTGCTTGGTGGTTGAGGTTGCACTTTCTGGTGGCAGTATTGCACCGCCCGTGTTTATGCACCAATCACCGCGGCGACTCAACGGCATCGGCCGTTTGATTGGCCCAGTAAACATGGCTCTTTGTGGCGTTATGCCAACATTAGCACGTTATCTACGGCGCCGCGGCCCTCGTGTATAGTTTTTTAAATGCAAAGAAAAAGTGACTTGGCCTCCACGCGGCGAAATAAAAGAAGGCGGACGCTAGCCGCACGCAATTTTGGCGCGAACACACTGCCGCACCGCGGTGGCTGCCTGGGTGACACGAGGCCCTGCGCCATCCTTTAGCCAGCAATTTATGCTGGCCGTCGAGATACTACCCCTCGTCCGACATCTCGCCATGTACAGTACTCGTACGCTCCCATAGTATCGACATCCAGGCAGTCTCCTCCCGTCACACCACCGTCAAGATCCAGCTCGTTGGAATCGTCACGTTCGCGGTGACAGCAGTGCGTCACCTCGATTCCCACAGTCGTCATGCTAAAGCTCCTGCAACTGTGAACCGTAAAGCTATCCTGGCTCTTCTCTCGCTCGTGTGAAAGCTGCAGGCCGCCAATTTTGCGCCATGCCCTTCTTGACCTCCATGGTGCCCTGCTTTGATGGATGACAAGGCAGATGCATTACGCGTGTGTTGTCTCGTCGTGGTAGGACTCTTACCACGAGTCCTAGAAGGAGGGGTCGAGGAGGCCAGTTGCGACTCTGCCGGTAAAAGCGGCGCCAAATTGCGTGCGAATAGACTTGCGATAATAATAATAAAGGCAGTGGTCCCCGGGTTGTTTCACTTGCGTCTATCTTCGGCGAGCATGATGGAGCCGGCCTCGGAACCGCCGGCGACGGCCGACCGGACCTCGACGACGTCGGCGCCGGGCGAAGATGGCATGTACGTCACGCGGAAGCGGTCGGCCTTCTCCAAGTGGCTGCACGGCAAGGGTATCTCGTCGTCGGCCAAGCACCCGGCGCCCGTCTTCCGGTCGGCCGACGTCATCCAGGAAGGCTACATGCTCAAGCAAGGGACGCGCTTCCGCATGTGGACGAAGCGGTACTTTATCTTGCGTCTCGAAGAGAAGCACATGACGCTCGGCTATTACACGTCCAAGGAAGAGCTCATCTTGTGCTCCGAGACGCCGATCGGACCGGGCCATGCGCTGCTCGATCTGACCAAGGAAGGTCGATTCCGCTTGGAGCTGCGGAGCGGGACGCGCTCGATGGTGGTCGAGATCGAGCTCGAGGCCGACTATGTCAAGTGGAAGAACGCGCTCCAGGAAGCGGTCCGATGGCACCAGACCATGGTCTTTGACGGCGCCAACAAGGTCACGTCGTATGGCAAAAAGTGCATCGACGACGAAGCCGCGGAGGCCGAAGCGCGCCTTGCAGCCGCCAAGAAGCAGCGCGAGACGGCCGCCAAGAAGGTCGAGGACGCGGCGACGGCCAACGCCAACAAGCCCAAGTTCCTCCCCTCGACGCGCAAGGGCCATCAGTGCTTTACAGTCTCCAACACGAAATTCGAGATCCCGCTCAGATACACGTACGCCAAGACGATTGGGTCGGGCGCCTACGGCGTCGTGATTGCAGCCGAAGCGGACGGGGCGCCGCCGTCCGACGCCGAAGGCGCGTCGAACCTCGTCGCGATCAAGAACATTCAACGCGCGTTCGACGACCTCACGGACGCCAAGCGCATCGTGCGCGAGATCAAGCTCATGCGCCATTTGCAGCACAAGTCGCTGCTTGGGATCAATGACATTCTCGAGCCCGTGAGCTTGGACGCGTTCGAAGACGTCTACATTGTCTCGGAGTGCATGGCCACCGACCTCCACCGCGTCATCTACTCGCGCCACGCGCTCTCGGACGAGCACATTTGCTTTTTTTTGTACCAGATGCTGGCTGCGCTCAAGTACGTTCACTCAGCCAACGTGATTCATCGCGATCTCAAGCCGAGCAACATTCTGGTCAATGCAAACTGCGAGCTCAAGATTTGCGACTTTGGCCTCGCGCGCGGCGTCCAAGAAGACTTGGAGCTCACGGAATATGTCGTGACGCGCTGGTACCGCGCGCCCGAGATCATGCTCGGCTGCATCAAGTACACGCACCACGTCGACGTGTGGAGTCTCGGCTGCATCTTTGCCGAGATGCTGAGCCGCAAGCCGCTCTTTCCTGGCCAAGACTACATTGACCAATTGCATTTGATCATGAACGCGCTCGGTGTGCCGACCGACGACGAGCTCTACTTTGTCACCAACATGCGCGCCCGCAAGTTTATGAACACCGAGTACCACACGCGGGTATGTCGTCCACGATCTTCCATGTCAAACGGCGACTCAAATGCGAGGGTGCTAGGGCCGGGAACCGCTCAAGCCATTGAAAGCGCTATTTGCCGACATTGCCCCGGACGCCCTCGACTTGCTCGAGAAGATGCTCGTGCTCGACCCAAACAAGCGCATCCGCGTCGACGATGCGCTCGCACACCCGTACTTTGCGTCGATTCGTCAAGTTGAGGACGAGACGGTCGCGCCGTCCGTGTTTGACTTTGACTTTGAGAAGGAAGACCTCAACAAGCGGAGGCTGCAGGAGCTCATTTGGGCCGAGATGCGCCATTTTCATCCGGCGCCGCCAGGTGTCGACGAACCGTTCCTCCACAAGACCAACAAGGACGACGAGAAGGCGGCCATGTAGCCGCCATTTCAAACATTGGTGTAACACTACGCGTATACAAGGCTTTATTTCCGTCTTCGGAGTGTTTTCGTTGGCGCGAAGTCGAGATTTGAGAATTCGGACGCGAAGACTGTCACACCAGCCTTTGGCCGTCAATGAAGATGACCGAATAGATGTGAATCGCTCAACCTTGGGCATATACTAGTATATACCCTTGGAAGGTATGCAATCATGACGGGCGACAGCGACGACGTGACGTTGAGGTTGGCGTCGTTTGACGGTTGGCAGTATTGCCAAGTCAATCGTGTGTGTACTTGCTGTAGGTCCTCAAGTTGATTTCTCAAAACCAAGGGACCAAAAACCATGGTCTTGAGGTATACTGTCGTGGACTGGCACTTGACCGCGAGAGCTCACCGCGAGTGGGCTTTCGATTACCGAGGACGCAGTACCACCAAGCGTATAGACTGTGCAGAGTCAAGCACAGCAGGCTTATTGGCTCGTGTACTTTGGTCTTTTGTTAGTTGGTCCTTCAAACAGAATGTCTACCGGGTATTGCGTGAGGTCGAACTCGCAAAGCGGCAAGGTTGATACTTTTGCCGTCCGTCTACTTGATACATAAAGCGAAGATCGAAGGACCTCATTGATGTTCTCCATCATGTGATTTGCTGAAATACCTGTAGTTTCGACCAATCCAAATGGGTAGATAGCAGTGTCCTTCAATGGCGCGATGCCATTGGCTGAAAAGCGCACAGTTCGATTTACCGACTAAACGTCCAGGATGGCGATGGTGCATGAGCTCGAGGAGCTCCGGGTCGGCCTCGCCGAGCTCACGGACTGCGTCTCGTGCATCTTGCACACGATCTTCTTCACGCGGTCGCCGGGCCCGGTGCACCCCGCGGACGCCAACTGCCGCTTCCGCCCCGTGACGTACGCCTTTGTGCCCGACGTCAAGAAGCAAGTCGAGACCGCGATCCAGCAGTTTACGCAGCGCAACATGCGCCGGCAGTCGGGCATGAATAGCAACATCACTGTCATCTTTTACGAGACGCGCAAGAAGTCGGCCATGTTCAACTTGTACGCGACGGAAGACCGCGTCGTGTGGGAGAAATGGGTCCTGCCAATCCGCGTCCTCGTGCACCCGCCGGCCAACCCGGACGACTATTGCACGCAGCTCGAGTCGCAGCTGCGCCACTCGATGCTCCATGTCGTCATGACGGTCCAAAAGGAAACACTGCACATTCCGACCGGCATGTACGACTTTGACCTGATTATCAACGATTTTTAACACGACTACACTTTCTCCACCACGGAGCTCTACTAAATTTTGATATTCACAAGCAGCTACAGTCGCAATCTTGTAGAGGGCTACGCCGGGGCAGTGGCACACGCGACCAAGGCCGTCATGTCCTTTCTCATGGGCCAAGGCGACAAGGCAGAATCAAAACGCCTGCGTGCGTCCTTCGTGCATGCACGGAGCGTCGAGCCAGAGTCGCCAGAGTCTTTGTTTGGCAAATCTTCACAATACGTCAATGTTATTTAGTGCTGTTCGAGTAATCGGGCGACCGTGATGCCACACGTGTGTTCAAGTGGAGGTGTCGCCTTCTCGCCCATCGCAGTTCGTAACTAGTCAAAATATCTTGCTGATAAGACAGCCATGAGTTGGTCGACCTACATATTTGATAATGAGCGGGTGGGCCGGCAATACTGTCTGTGTCTTGAGGCTCGCGGCTTCCGTGAGCTGGAGGGGGTTCATGTGATGCTATAGCTACTGTTAGCAGCACCGAGAGAGTAGAAAAATGAGGACGTTGTTTTCGATTTCCATGTCGGCGCCGTTTGTAACCATGATGCGCGTGAGCTTGAGATGACCGTAGAATGCAGCGTAGTGCAACGGCGCCAAGCCCTCGAGCTAGTTTATAACCATAAACAAGATCAAAAATGATGTGAAGGCGCTACCCGATCGTGGAGGTCCAAGGAAGCACCGGCCTTGATGAGCACCTCGGCAACATCGTCGCTGCCGCTAAAGCACGCCCAGTGCAGCGGCGTTCGACCAAGCTACACTCATATCATAGTCGCGCAAGCGAGAAAGAGGTGCGAGAAGGTCGTACGTGGTCGGCTTCGTCGGGAAATTGACCCTTGTCCAAGCACCAGCGCATGGATGGCACGTCGTTGGTCTTGGCTGCTTCGAGGCAGAGCGGAAACGTCGACGGTGCGTCCGTCACGTCGCAGGCGACTTTGTCTGATTTACCGCGCAAGTACCGATGTGCCCTTGCTGCGTCGAAATTATCTTGAACAAATTGTCTGTAAAAAACAATGCCGGGAAGACCCTATGGAGTATAAGTACTTGCATATTGTTGATGTAAACGAGATACGCACGCAGAGCGTGAGGAGGTAGAGACCCGGGGGGACGCAAGCAGCGATAAAAAGCGGGAGCGGACGCGACGGCGTCACGAGGTAGACACCGAGAAGCGCCAAGGACGGCGCGACGACACAAAACACTCGAATGACGCGGCTCTTGACGCAGCACAGAATACACACGAGTGCCGTCTCGATCCGCTCGGCGTCTTCGACCGTCGGGCCATCCTACGCTCATGCATGGTACGAGCGGCTGGCAGACTTGCGCACCTGGGTCATCGCCGGTGGCTAAAAATAGATCATACCTGATTGGCCGTGACGTGGCAGCACGAGACATCATTGTTGTGCATGCAACGTAGGTATGCTGATCAACTTTGTTGCTTGTTACATACAAGCGAGGGTCTCTGCCCTGTGTATTGTCGTCATGCATAGCAATGCTTCGGCGTCTTCGAAGCAGCTCAGAATCCTGGCGCAAGGTGTGGCAGCAGCCACGACGCCAGCGTCATCTTGGGCAACAGCAATGTGAAAGCGATGGCTACCCTCGCTGTCAAGATCACGAACTGGCGGCTAGAAAGTTGGTATGTGTGGCTGCTCACTCACTGCGACGCCATCACACTAGTTTCCGTCTTACTGATTGTGCCAACGTTGACTCTTGATTTTCGCAAGGCGCCCGTCTTTGCAGTGTACGAGCCACCTCTTGCGTAGCGTTGTCTCGTGCTAGTGTCTACTTATAGTGGCTGCTCGTCGTCGCTGACCATCCTCGCGCTGCCCTTGTCTGCGCGCATGATGGCTGTGAATTCAAGGCTCACCACTGCAACGCCATCCAGACGCTGACGTCGCTGTTTTCGACCGTGATCGTGAAGGCGCTTGCAGCGCTCGCGTCGTACGTTTGCTCGGGCGTGGCCCAGACGAAGACCGCCGTCCACGCCAACGACAACATAGTTGGCTTGTTGCTGGACAGCTGCGGCGCGTCGACGACGTTGACGTTGAAGTTGATCGTGCGACAGCAGTGCTGTGAGCGTCTTTGCGATCGTCGCCGGCGCGTGTGGGCCACCCAGCGACTGGTTTGAGTTGCAGTAGTCTGCTGTGATTTTGCCGCCAATCGCGCTCGCAAGCTGACGGGGCGATGAGAGGATGCTGACCACTAGACACTGGCATGCGACTACGATAATGCACACTGTACACATAAGAGGCTGGAAAGGTAGGTGCCACCGCGAGGGAAGCGGTACTTGCGGCCCACACGTTTGGACACACGGCTACGTTCTTGGGAACCACCATGGCCAGAGGCAGCAGCGCTGGCGTGCGCTTGCTCGTAGCGTCACGCTGCGGCGCAAGAAGGTTCTCAGTGTTCATACCGACGTCGCTCGTAACGGCGCCCTCCTAATGCGCTGGCTTAGCTCGCAATTGCATAGAGCAGAGGATGACAAGACGGGCCGGCACGGCGTGTTGGCGAGCACGGCTCTGATCGTCTTGGTAGCTGCTGCCACTGTCGCCATGGAGCGGTACTGGAGCGTCGCCTGGGGCGCGCGCTGGTCACTAGGTCTCGCGAGCTACCGTGGCACGACGCAGCTGCAGCGCTCGCGCATTGGGTCGTGCCACCGCGGGTTGAGCTTTGGGCTGAGAACTGCTTGCATCGATCCGGTCAATTATACGGATAAAGCTGTACCCCGGTGTACAACTGTAAAAGAGCGATTTCTCGCGCTGTAGACCCCGCCCGATCACAAGACGTAGCGTTTCGTAGGCTCCAAAGCGTCCTCTATCTATGTGCCAAATTGCACCGAGTTGGTTTCTGAACGCGATTTGGTCGATCGCGAGCCCTGCGGCGGGGATGGCCACGCATTCATTCGCGCGGATTGGCTGAAAACCGAAATTAATTGCACCAATGAAACCATTTAGATGTTTATTTTTATTATATAAAGGTTTTGGCTCGCGGGTCTCATTTTTTGGAGTAGATCCGTATCAAGTCCATCTCCAAGCCACGTTGTTGGCGCCTCCGCTTTGGTCAGCTGCAACGAGTGTGTAAAATGGCGCATCAACAAGTAGTCGGATTCCATCTCGTCGTCACCTATCAAGCTGGTGAAGACGACGTTCCTTTGATCGCGATTGTCATTTCAAGACTCGTCTTCACGTCGCCATGTCCAAAACGGTGAACTTGAACGTCCGCGGCACGATCGTTAAGGCGAAATACGACGCCGTGTTTAGCCCACAGGGACACCTCCACCCCATCTGCAAGTTGGTTGAAATGTCGCCCCGCGCGATCGGTTTGTGTGCGTGGGCGTGAATATATGTCTTATATACACGCGTAGACGCCTCCGGCTGTCACGTCTATGTGGTCGATCTCGATCCGGCCTTGTTTCGTCGCTTGATCGACTATGTGCAGTACGGATGCCCTCTTTTTGAAGGACTGGGCCGTGACGACGCGATACGTGTCTCGGCGGTGATCCAGACGATGGATCTGCGCCTCCCCGGGGTTCGCTGGGATCCTGCGCACTGTGGACAACATACTGCCACCTCGGACGACTACCAATGTGCTACGATCCTGTCTTCGAGCTCTCATCCGGTGCAATTGTTTGGCGAACGCATGCTCGCCGTACAGCCACTCGATGCGTTCAAAATCCACATCGACTGGCTCTCGCCTTCGGGCAGTGGGCATCGGTTCGAAGTCGGCTTTGCGTCGCGCTTTGGCAGCGCCGAGTATGTGATCCCGCTGGCGGCCGCTACCCGATTCAAGCGCGTACGCGAAGTCATGACCCTCAAACTGGACCGGGCGGAGCACCAAGTGACCCTGACGAGCGAAGCGTGCGGGACAAAGACCTGTACTTATGGGAACGTTATTGCCGGCAAGCTGTACCCATGTATTTTGTACCTACCGATCTTCTACGGTGATCCAAGCCATTTTCAAGCGCGCCTCCTTGCCGATTAGATGGAGCCTATTCATTTAATGTAGCGAATCGTACTAGCGCTTTGTGCTGAGGCTCCTTCGATCTTCGCTTTGGGTATCAAGTGGCGGCAAAAGTATCAACCTTGCCGCTCTCCTTTCCTTTGGAGCGGATTTGCTGTCAAGAAGGTACGAGAGATTTTGCGGTACGAGAGTTTTTGCGGTACGAGTAAAGGGCGCATTCGTCACACGCCACTCTACTGCCTAAACGGTTAATGGGTACGGTGGGCTTGGTCCAAACGCATCTTCTCGAGGTATCAGTGTTATGGCATCGCACAACATGTCGATAGCGATTGACCTGTCGCTTCGCATTTAGTGAATACT